AACGACGTATTTTTTGCTATCAGACAGTAGATACTTTCTTTACGTCCTCCCATCTTTCCGAGTGATTCTCGAACTTCAACGAAAAAAAGTTCTACTGGAATCATAGCACTTTTTTGCAAATTAGATGAGTAGCATACGCTGTTCAGTTCAACAATACTCGTGTTTAAGTTCGTCGACAATTTCCATCACCCAAATCTTCTCCAATTTTGCACGATGATTATATCTCCCTTTTTAAGCTGTTACCCAACATAGTGCTGAATGGATACCTTATAAAAGTGATGATCTAGTACTAATAGTTTTGCAAAAAAAAACTATATGAGACCACCAAATTATATCATTTCTTATCGAACAATACAGTTCTAAAACCTCCGTGAACCTTTCAACTCTCATATACCTAAGGCTTCTTTCCCCTCAAAACCAGTTAGGATTGCGCTAAAGCATTACTAGTAATACGGTAAATGACCTCAATGAAAATTTTAAAACCTGTAAGAGTCTGGTTATAGAGGTGGCTGTGATTTTAAGGTTTATGAGATGTAGATTTATTCAAAGTACAAAGAAGAGCCCCTTGAATAACTGCTTTTCAATAAATTCTCATAAGAGTGATGGCCGTGGCGAAAGATGGAAACGATGCGTCAAAGGGTCAGTAGAATCACCATCTTATGTGCGAACCTAAGAACTTTTCAAGAACTTTCAGACGTAGCAACCATAGTCGCCGACGTTTCTGAAGAATGGCTGCGGCAGCCGAAAAAAGTGCTTCCCCATTCTACTGCTCGATACTCCCCTTACATAGCCCAAATAATTTTGTAATATTGAAGGCAATGAAGCCGAATACTGTATGGCATCCCATACAACTAATATCTTTATGCTAAATAAACAGTTCAAAAAGTGTCCAATCAATTTTATCCGCTGAGAAAATAGCAATAAAAAGGAACACAAAAATATTGGGCCATTAATGGGTGTGTAATGGTGCGTCAAATGTGCGAAAGAGCTTTTTGACTGGCACGGGATACATAGCACATACCGATTTTTATAGGGTACAACTGTAGAGCTAACGTAGTAGAAAATAAGGTAGAAATTCAGGTTATTTTTCACTAAATATTGTAACAAATTTCAAATGAGCCCTCCTTGTTCAGTAATATAAAAAGTGAGTCACAAGCAATA